GAAGCGGAAGCGGCGGCGGTGCAGGATGGAGGAGCCTGAGATGCAGCTGAAGGTGAAGAAAGGTGGGAGCGGGCCGGGGCCGGGGAGCGGTGACTCGGTGGGGCCCTGCGAGTCTGAGTTGACCGGTCGCGACAGAGCCCCTGTGGGTCGTGACAGGCCGCGGGCACGACAGGGCTCTGGAGCGACAGCAAGAGTCACGACAGGGCCCTGCGGGTCGTGAGAGAGAAAGGTGCGACGGGGCAGGGCGAACTGCGACAGGGTGGATGGTGAGAGGGTGTCGCAGTCACAGCAGGGGCCGAAAAGGCACCGTGGGGTCAGTCGCGATGGGGCACTGGAGGTCGCGACAGGGCGGAGGATGACGTGCCCCGACAGGACCCCTCATTGCGGGGCAGGCAGAGCTGGCGGGAGCCCTGCGGGCCCCTCGGAGCCCGGCCCTGCGCCCCCCTCCCTGCCTCGGCCCCTCGCTGCCTGCCCCGCTGCCTGGCTCTGTTGAACGTCCCCTGTCAGGAGGGGAGATGGACAGACAGACGGACTGACAGCAGCTGTGTCTGTCCCGGGGGATATAATTATTCCTGTAAAATTTTGCCTTTGTTCCCGTTTGCATTCAGAAGGCTCCGCGTGTCTGCCGGTGTTGCGGAACTGGGGTATCTGAGCGGTTGCCAAACGCTGAAGGGAGGAGCAGAGAATCCTTATCCTTAAAACAGAAAATTGTGCAGGAGCTGAAAGGGGTCCTGCTTCAGCCTGGTGAACACGCTCCCCGATTCACCCCCACCACGAACAAGGAAACGATCTCCGAGTTGTTAGGAGCTGCCAGCGTTCTCCTTGCCAACCCGCAGGGAGAGAGAGCTCAGGGCTGTGATGTGGCTGTGCCAACCACCGTGACAAGGTGTTCCCGTACAGAGGGTGGTCCGGAGAGAGGCTGGGCCAGGATGAGAGGGGTGGAGGGCAGGGAAGCGGCTCAGCAGGCAGCTGGGAACGGCACCGAAGCTTCCTGAGCCCTGGTTTGCGGCCACCGTGTCTCCTCCATGGGCATTTTTAGGATGTCACCCTGCAGTGGGGGGTGGCTGAGGTGCAGGAGAGCTCGAGGCCCTGAGCAGAGCCGAACCCGAATGGCTGGTAACGAGGCAGGGAGCCTCCAGAGCGGGAGATGCTGTGTTCCCAGCCGGCAGGGGCAGCTGCAGGGCACAGGAACGGGAGCCAGGGCACTGCTGGGCTCTGCTCATCTCCTGCCCCCTCCAGATTGGTCAGAAAGGGCCTCGTGACAGGCATAACCCAAGTGGTCCCTGAGACCAGAACAACCAGAGCTCGCGGGGGACCGTGGAGGCGGTGACAGCCCAGGCTGGTCTGTCTCCATCTGGAGCCCAGCTCGTCGCTGGCTGCAGGTGCTGTTATGGGGAGAGTGGAAACAGATCTGCCTGTTTAGTGGGATTTAGCTTTCACATCCTTGTTAACAGACTTAATTATCCAAAATACGTGGGGTTTTGCTCTGATCTCTCCTCTGGCACGTTGGAAGCTTTGGGCCTTTTGCTGTAAAGGCCCCTGCGGGTGCTGAAGCTGGAGGGTGCAGCGGGTGCTCTCCGAACCTCTCCAGCCCCCACGTCTATGCAGCTGTCAGAGACCACGTTGGGGACAGGACCAGTGCTCCAGGGCATCCTTTGCAACCCCACCTTCCCCCCTGTTGCTCCCCGCTTTCCATAACTGTGGTGTTTTCCTTGTTGCAGTTACGGACAAATTCACTGAGAGCATGTACGTCCTGGCCAACGAGCCCTCCGTGGCACTGTACCGGCTCCAGGAGCACGTGCGGAGATCCCTTCCGGAGCTCGCACAGCATAAGGTGAGTCGTGCTTTGCTTTGGACTCCAGAGCTGCGATGCAGTCGGGCACAAACTGTTTTCCTGACTTGGCACATCGTCCCTATGCCACCTCCCTGGGGGGGAGCGGGAAGGAGGGAGGAAATCGGCCATCGGGGTGCAAGGTGCTGCAGGACCCCAGCTCGGTCTGAACTGGACCCCGGCTCGGTCCGGACTGGAGGGGGTGAGGGGATGTTGCAAATTTACCCATGGACCTGAGGAAAAAAACTTGCGAGTCCAACCATGGTCCCGTGCTCTCACGGCTGGGCTTGTGTGTGGAGACAAAGAAAAATGAGTAGTCTGTCTTGTACGGGGAGAAGGGAGATGTTAAATCTTATTACCCCTGCCTACGCTGCGAGGTTTTTATTTCCTACATAAAATAAGGGGGAGGGTGAGAGGAGGGAAGAAGGGGGAGCGTGAAGAAACAAGTGAGAGGAGCCCACATGAGGCAAAGCAGGATAATGAATCGCATCTCGCAGCTGTGTTCCTACTTTCCTCCAGAGCACGGAGCACAGACACTTTAATGCCAGCCTTGTTGTCCTTCTCCCTCTTCTGCCAGTCATGATTCATTAGGAGTGATGTCTCATGAATAGATTACTGCTTCATGTCTATGCTAATGCACTGTCAGGCCCCATTTTTCACCTTTGCTTTACAGCCCTGGTTTCCAAATTAACCTGGATTGTGACACTTTATTATTCAATTATTTATTAACGTTTTATATACGTGTCCATGTGCAGTGGTAGGTATATAGAGATGTATATGTATGTATAGCACATGCTGATGCGATTGCATCACTGGCATGCGGGAGACAGGTTTGTAATATTATTCCTGAGCTGTCACTTGCTTTCATTTAATCAAGATAGTCCCAATTTCAGGGAATGTGTCCTGAACAGAAGGAAATTGAGCAAATTGTATGACAAGTCATGCAGAGGGAAGAGATCGGTTTCCATCGCTGAACGGCGCGTAACGGGGATGAGGGCGAGGGGCAGCGCAGAAGCGCTAATGGAAGCGACAGCCAAGTGAAGGCACTAGACACAGAGCGTGTTGTTAGGCAGCGGGGTTTATGCTGGGCAAGGTCTCTGAAAACCTTTGATTCTCTCATTTTCCCTGCTCGGCATGCTCATCGCAGTTATCCACACTGTTCTGTGACCTCTCTGGCTCATCTAAGTTCATTTCCTAGCTGCAGCCACCCTCAGAGAATTCTCTTTTGCAGCCAAAATTGCTGCTGTTTTCCACTTTCTTCCTGTGAGAAAGGAGGTCATGCTGTCCTGTGGCTGCCAGCAGCAAATACAAGGATCCTGCGTCCCCCCGTGCAACCGCAGCTGTCACAAGTGTCAGATACCTTTGGTCTTTGATGCCTTCATGTTCAGCCTTGCAGCCTCCCTCCTGCCCTGGCCGCTAGCCCCAGCTGGGGCAGCGGTGGCCTTTGTACACGGGGACGAGCTCGCCGTGCTGCCTGCAGTAACGGTGCACGTCAGGACAAAGCTGAACCGACCGCGCGGTGCCCTCTGCCCCGGGGCACGGCAGGGCACTGCCCCAGTGCCACCCCAGTACCTGTTTGCCTCTCCAGAGTTAGAAAACATTTCCTGATGCTTGCTCAGAGGTGCTGCTCTTTACATCCATTCTTTTTGCCCACTGCATGGGCGCTTCCAGCTTCTTAACTGCTTTCCTCGTTACTGGCTGTGTGTTTAATGGTGCGCTGATGTGGCAAGAGCTGGGAGAAAATGGAAAGAAAGTTATTTGTGGCAGCTGGAACAACAGCAGATCCAGAGCTGCTGCTAGTGACTTTTCCTCCAGCCTCATCAGCTCCCGAGTTTGTTTTTTTCCCTGAGGCTGCAGCATTGTGTTTGGGAGCATGCTCTCCTCCCTGCTGGTAACCAGTCCCTGGTAGGAACTGGGAGGGTTAAACATAACTCAGTTAGGCCAGTGTCCTGGCTGTGCTGCCAGGCTGCTGGTAATGGCCTTGTGGCCAGGTTCTCTCTGTTGTCCTTGATCCCAGTCTCATTTTATCCCAGTTTCAGGCATTGCTGTTTGCAGCCAACAGGCTGGGCCTGTCAAGCCCTTGAGCCCAGGCAGCCAAACCCCAGGAGAGAGGGATGTGCTCAGAGCCCTGACAGGGCCATCGTCGCAGCGGGGCGTTCAGTTAGCTGGGGATGGATATTTTGGGTTGCTCTGCCAGAGCCCATCGGCTCTGTGGCTAGAGACTGGAACAGGAGGGTGTCAGCAGGGCTCTGCACCGTGAAAACGCTGTCAGGTTTTATCTAAATCAGAGCAAAGGCATTAAAGTGAGGTGGTTTTAATTCTTCAGACCAGAAAAGAAGAAAAAGGAACGTTCTGTGGGATCCACTCTCGCGTAATTTAGTCCCAAGATGTAGGTAATGTATAAAGGAAACAGGATTTATTAGCGGTTTCCAGCTTTCCTTCAGCTGTGCAGCAACTCCGTCTCTGGCTGGCTGAGTTCTCCTGAGACGCGGCCTTTGAAATTTCCAGGGGGATTAAACCTAGGAAAAATTGGGAGGGAGGGGGCTGGGAGAAAAGTTTCTGCAAAGAGAAGGTCACCTCTGTGCCTTTACAACAAGCAACTTTCTATGATTTAGTAAAACAATAATCTTAATACCTTCCTCACCATCTCCAACTCTCCAAGCAGATTTACCACCTCCCTGATAAGATACGGTGCAATGCAAGGCCTCTGTGCGTCGTAGCTGCGCTGCTAAGCCCTGCTCCGCACAGGGCGGCCTTTCTGGATTTCGCCTGGTCTTTTGAGAACTTGCATCTCCTCATTAATTTACTTCCAAGCAACAGTAATGTATCATTAGTGCTATTGTGTATTAATAGCTGGCTTTAGTTCTTAAACTGCATCCAAGGGCATGTCCTGGGAATTTGAAGAAAGGACATCAAGAAAAGATTAAAAAGTGAGGAGCTCTGGGGAAAAGCCCTTGCTCCTAATTAAGGATATGAAAATACCAGGAAGTGGTGGGAATGCTGGGAACAGACATCACTGGCTCTGGTACCGGGAAATGATTAAAATCTGCTGGTGCTCAGAAACAGCAGGACCACAAGCAAGCGGCTGTGACACATCCGACTGAGCCAGTGCGCTGTCGGGGTCTAAACGGTTGTTAAAGATCATCTGGCACCTCTTGGAGAGAGTGGGTGAGGAGCTGCAGGAGAGTGTCTGCGTCTTTTGCAGCTGCCTCCGCACACAAAGCGTGTTCCCAGCAACAGACGCAGTCGTGTAAAATGCGACTGGGCTCTGGGACGAGCACGGTCTCTGTGGGGTTGCGAGTCCTGGGGCGAAGGACGCTCTCCTGCAGAGAACTGCCTAAGCGTTGCATGTAGAGGCTTGTTTCTTTTATAGTTTAAAGCTATGTGGTCAAGCGTCCTGATGGAGGACAGGCTTTGAACAGCAGAAATAATTTTGGACGAAGTCCAAGCTCCTACCCGACCTCCCTCACTCCCAGAAAGAGGCCCTTGGATTTCCTCTGGCTTGTAACTAGACCCAGCAGAATAGACTGCAGAATTAGCTCCCATGAGAACATATTTTAAAGAGTGCCCAAACTACTTAAGGACTTTTGAAATAGTTATCTATTGAGCTACCCCTCTGAATTCAGCTGCGCTTTCATTGCGATTTGTTATTTGTTTGGTTTTCCCTTTCCTTGGAGCTACAGCGTACAATTATGTCCCATGCCAGAACTGGCTGCGTGCAGCGCTGCTTGCATTTGTGTGAAGTTTGCAGGGCTCCTTCCAAGCTCGTGAAAGGAAGGGCACAGCGCTGGCTGCTGCTTGGGATCAGACGCCAGAGTTTCAGAGCAGATTGGAGGACAGCGACGCTTGCGGCTGTGAAAGTGTTCATGAAAGGCAGGTCCAATGAAACGAGAACTTTCAGTGCTGTGAAAGAAACTTTTACCTGGTTTTGCATGAAGGACTAAGGACCAGAGACTGCAGGAGCTGTGTTAGTTCAGATCCTGGCTGCCTGCTGGGCCAGGCGCACCGGGAGATCTGGGTACTCTGAAACATCCAGCTGGGCCGTCGCACTCAGCGCAGTCGCTGGCTGCTCGCAGCCTGACTGACCTTGGCTCTCAGCTGGCTTCTGGGCTAAAACATCTGAAAACAAGGGGAATTTTGCCAGAGTATCCAGAGTGTTGGCCTGCACTCGTAGCCCTTCCAGAAACACACACAAGAAATGTTTCTTTTAAATGCCAGTGCACGGCACCCAGAGCCTGGAGTGCATCACAGGCTGTCAGGCGGGAGACAGAATCCAAACGCAATTTCCAGTGAAAAGCAGCCAGAGCCCCTGTTTGGGCAGGGCTGGCAGAGCATATCGCTGCGACGGCGCTGCTGCGCCTGTCCGGTGCACACCTAACGATGCCGCCCTCTCTTCTCTTTCAGTCCGACATGCAGAGCTGGGAGGAGCAAAGCCAAGGAGCCATCTACACGGTGGAGTACGCCTGCAGGTACGAGAGACCCCTCCACGCAGGAGGGTTGTGTTCGCAGGCGGAGCAGTTGCAGTAGAAATAAAGCAGGAGCCGCCTGCGCTTCCCTGATGCCTCCCTGGTGCAAGGCAGGGAGAGAGCGTGGTCGGGGTGGGGGTGTGAGGCGGTGCTCTCTGAACCGTTACCGTGAGGCTCGGGGGCTTCGCTTCGATGAGCCTGCCAGCTCTTCCCCAGGTCTGTGCGCCATCTCCTCCAGGAAATCCACCCAGCGGCTAGCTAGTGCGGCAAGATGCATATAAAGTTGTTTCTTATTTACAGTCCTCTCTGTCAGGGGCCGTGTGCTCTAAAACCGTGACGCCTTTGGAAATACTAACCAGTCCTCCCATCTCCTCCACCCCCCTCTTTTCTTCTTTCAGTGCCATAAAGAACATGACTGACAGCAGCGTGTACTTCAAGAGCATCGACAGTCTGCTCAAACATGCCATAGCCATGAAGGATCAGCTGAACGCTGCTCAGGGCCGCAGGTAGCGAGGGGATGTGACACTGCCTGTTTATCTGAGCGACCGTTCTGGCTGGCAGAGGCTTTGGTGACGTAACGCAGCCCAGTGCAAACAGTTTTCTCAATAATATGATTCCAGACTATGATTTGAAAGAGCATGCTGCTTGCCTCCCAGTGATCTTCTGGCTTTGTTTACTGGGAAATATAATAATCTTGTTTACAAAAGGTTAACTGGAAAATAATTTCTTATTTAAAAAGGGATGTTTGGTTGTGTAATACATCAAATCTTTGTTGTGTCAGAGGGATTTTGAGTGAGATGATGCTACCGAGATGGAGTTAAGTGAGAGGCTGCGTTGGTGCTGTTCTGTTGTGTATGAGTGGTAGCAGAACGCTGATGCATTTTTGTATGTTTGCAGTTAAACTACAGCTACTCAAATATCTTCCAGCAGATCGTCTGAGTCTAGTGTATTTGTATCTCCTGAGAATGGTGTTGGTATTGGAGTCTGTCTGGGTAGGAGTGAGAAAATTCCCAAATGCCCATCCCTGATAAAACCACCACAGCGAAGAGAGAGCCTCTGTCTCCGCAGAACGACTCTGCCTTAGACGGTTCAGGTTCTGCATTTTCCCAGTTGCCCGTGTGGCAGGGCCGCACTCTGCGCAGCCCAGAGCATTTTCAGCGGTTTTGCGGTGGCGTGGCTGCGAAGATTGCTGCCTCGCCACCCACGGGGGCTGCTGTGTGCTGCTCCCTAGTCTGCACGGCACGCTGAAAGGTGGGCTTCTCTAAGCCGCTCTCCTGCTGCAAGCAGTGAGGTTTGATTGGAGGCAGCCCCTGGTTCCTCACATTCTTGCGGCCGCTGGTGGCCTGCCCACCTGCCAGACGTGACTGTCTCTTTCTTTTTACAGCACCGCTGCCCCACAAGCCAAGAATCCTCCAGCCAGTTCCTGATTTCGGACCAGACTGGCCGTCCTCTGCCGCCTTCTCCAGCCCAGCTCTATGTTCTCCGACCACAGTGAGGAGTGACAAACCACCTGCTCCATCTACGAAGCTGCACGGAGGCCTCTGCCTGCCTCTCTGTTCCCAGTAACAAGGTGCCGCACCTGAGCGGGCGCATCCTGCCTTTGGGGGTGCTTTGGGGAGCAGTTGTGTCCCTCTCCGCAGCACTTTGCAAAAGGGAAATGGGGTGGATCTGCGTTTGTCCTTCCCAGTTCTGTTCGATGGCAGACTGCTATGAGGCGTTTTTCTCTCTACCTCTTGGCCACAGAAATATCTCGGAAAAACTAGGTCTTGCTTTCAGTATTTTGTAGATGGCTGCGTAAAGACATAATCTAGGCACACTTCAGCTTTGTTCAGGAGGCACTCTGCAAGGAGAGCTTTTCATGTGTGTGCCAGGGAGCTGCTGCATTTGGTTTTAGTGAGAACAATAATAAAAAGAGAAAACAAGAAAGTTGTGTCTAAAACCTTCCCCGTTGCTCGCCTCGGGCTGGGGGGTCTTGGAGCCTGCTGGCTCTGCGTGTTTCAAAGGGCATGGAGCAAAACAAAGACGTGCAGAATTGGAGCCTTTCAAGTGAAAAAAGAAACTGTCCTGTTCTTCAAAAAACCAACAAAAAAAGGACTTTCTTCGTCCCCTGTCAAGCAGTGGGAAGCAGAGCTGTACGCACAGCTTTGGAGGCCACTTTAAAAAGGGTGCAGCTTCAATGTGAATCTCTCCTGGAACCAGCAGTTCTGTGCTGCTGAAGAATTGGCCAAGGATGCAGGGATCAAAGCAGCACAAAACTCGGTTTCCAAAGAAATTGTAATGTGCTCAGGATAACAGGTGCCTTTCAGGATAACGGGACGGGAGGGGAGAGGGAATCTGTTTGAATCGGTGGCCTCCCTTCACTCCCTGAAATGCTTTACTGGTTGATACTGGGGAAGAACCCAGGGTGCTGCTGCTCTGGGCCTGGGCAGGGTTGGCAGAGCGCGGGGCTGCGAGTAACCTGCAAGGTGTTTGTCGGCGCGGGGTCGGAGCGAGCTGAACCTGCTGATGCTTCACGGAGACAGCCGCTGCCTTTAGTACTTGCGCTTTCTGCCCTGGCCGCAGCAGGGGACTGGCAGTGCCAATGCGACCCCCTGCCCGGACCTCAGCCTCGACAGTCAGTCGTGTTCTCCTGGTGGCACTCGGGTAACCCCCAGAGCGGTCCCTCCACCCCTGAGCAACGCCAGGGCACCGGGGCTTCTCCAGCACAGCCCCTTTCCCTGCGAAGAGCTGTGACATGACCCTGCTGAGCAAGCTCCGTCCTGCTGGGAGCGTGGATGTGCTGCTGGCCAAGCAGCAGGTGCTCCGCCACCCCAAACCCACCCTCTGTGGCTCGCAGATTGCTCTGGCTCCAGCTCGCTCGTTGCTCCTCCATCACCTCCCTTGGTTTCTTACACCTCCCTGGCTGCGCGCTGCAGGGAAGCCCTGCTGTACGAGCCGTCTCGGTGTAGTGCTGGCTCCCGGGGACGGAGGAGGCAGGGAGGTACAGCCAGCCAGAGAAACCAGCTGGGATCTGCCGGAGAAGGAGAGCAGGAGAAGGAGAGTAGGTCTGTTCGTGGGCAAGGTCCACGTGCTGCTTCTCAGCCACATGTTCCACTTCTCCGCTGCAGCTGGGACAGCCGTGGGGTCCTGCGTGGGTCACTGCCAGCCGCTGCCCTGCCAACATGGTCCTTGTTCACGGGGTGGCATCGCTGGGGGCCGAGGGCTCTTGGCTTTGAGTGGAGGTGGCGTCTTCTCAGTAGAAGAAGCAAAGAGCATCAGGCGGTGGCTGCGCAGACTCCCCAGGGTGGAAGAGCAGCCATAACCTGCTCTGGTGAGACGTGACCGATGTGAGGCTCTAAACAGAGATGCAAATCTTGGCCCTGGTGCCTGCAGCTCCCCTGGGACGAGATGGGGTGAAAAGGTCCCGCTTCCACTCACACCAGAGTCGAGTCCTTGCCCGAGGCTCCAGGTTTGCGTGACAGGACGTTCCTCATCTCCTGGGTGACGCCGTTCCAGGGCTTGCCCTGCGCCTGCAGCAGGCCTGGCTCTGCCGACAGCGTCCGGTGCGTTCGGGGCAGGTTGTAGCTCTCCTTCTCGGAGCGAAGCCCGGGGCTGCCCGAGGAGGTGAGGTTGCTGCTGGCCGGAGAGCCCAGCTGGGATTTGCGCTCCAGGAAAGGAGGGAAGGAAAACTCCCGGTGGATCTCGGGCCGGGGCCGGGGCGCAGCCGCGTTCTTGTTGTTCAGATCGCTGGCGGAGGATTCGCCGTGCTGGGCAGAGTCGTTCTCGTACAGGGTGTGAGAGACCTCGGAGCGGCTGCGGCGCGAAACCTGGTTAGCCCGTACCAGGGCGTGCGTCACCGTGATCAGCAGGACAATGATGCCGGAGGAGAGGATACAGGCGCTGGCAATGCCGGCCTCCAGTTCGAACAGCAGGAGCATGTAGATGGCGAGAGCTGGAAGGAAAGGAGAGTGCAGAACATCTTGAGGAAGCAGAAGGACTAAAGCGATGCAGCTGACCTGCGAACTTCAGGCCCTGCGAGGGCTGGTCACCAAGAACAGAAAGTTCGCACTACAGGAATGAGCCGGCAAAGCCATTTGCAAAACAAACCCGATGCTGAAGCAGAAACTCAGCAGCTCACAGGCACGCAGCAACCAGCGCAGGATGTACGGTCTGGGCTGAAAACGCGCGGGCCCTGCCGAGCTCTGCTGGGGAACGAGCACTTGCCTGTTAGGTAGACTGAGACCCCGCAGCAGAACAAGCCGATGGCAGCATGGCGAACCGTCCGGCTGTCCAGAAGGAACCAGTCTGCCCTGCAAAACAGGTGAGAAAAACACAGGTCTGCGTAGGCTCCTGGCCCTGGTCTCAGCACAGGAAAAATGCTGATGCTCCGGCCCCTGCTGAGAAACTGAAACGTGGGTTTTGCATAGAGAAGAGGTTCAGAGCCAGGTCACAGGCCCAAGGACCTCTGCTGAATCGGGGTTTCCCCCAGGCTGCTGGGTTGCACAACTCGGGGCTGCGCTGTTCCCACTCTGGAAGAGAAGATTTTGAGATCGCTTGACATTTCAAACTTTTCCTGCCCGGTTCAAGCTGTGCTTTGGAAACCAGATGGGGCCAGGGGCTCGGGAGAGAGAGACAACTGGCTGGAGGCTTTTTGCAGGTGATTTGCCCCTGTTCAGCAAACCCTGAAGAGCAAGCAAGGAACAAAACTGAGGCCTGTCAAGCCCATCTGCCCCTTAAAGAAAGGATGACAAGTAAAGTGCTGGTGCCTGGAATTAAGCAAGGCCAGGTTCTCTCTTCACCCTTGGGACTGGATTTCTGTGCTCAGCTCAGATTGCAAGCCTTTTGTCCAGAGGGGGCTTGGTACTTGAATTGTGCTTAAAACACATGAAAGGACCAGCTCCTTTCCAGCAGGGCCTTTGTTTCCCACCCACCGGCACGCTCTCTGCCGAGCCAGCCCGCAGCCCCGGCACCGGCGGCTCTGCTTGGGCGTCTTCGGAGCCGGATTGACCTGGCAAACGTCAGCCCTGGCTGGGCTTTGGAGGCCACTGTCACCAGAGGATGCCTCCGCTAATTGGGAGAGCGGGACGTGGGCGTTAGGGGATGCAGCGTAGTGCGGCAGATGGGTGCCAGGCCACTCGGGGCGGGTTGGAAATGTGAGTGCTCCGAGAGATGCTGGCAGGACTGGATGCTCGAAGGCGCAAACAATGCCTCGAAACAACTGGGGGTGCGCAGGGCATCGCTGGTCCCGCTGGCCACCTTGAAAAGTCCCCAGGAGCTGGCTGGGAACATGCCCTGGCTTCCAAGGACCAGCTGAGGGGCAGCAGCACAGCCACCCTCCCGGCAGGACCAGCCCTCCTGTTGCTCCTCTGCAATGCCAGCTCCTTCCACCCCGCGGGGTGAATTCAGCAGCCGAGGACACCGGGCCCTGGCCCGGTCTACCCCAGCATGGCCTGGCCCCCAGCCCACCTCCCGGGCTTGTTGTAGCCCCTCGGCCGTTGCCGCCCGCGTGGGGAGCCTGCAGCCGGGAGCCGTTAATAGACCCTGGACCCGCTCCCCCCCCCCCGC